GCAACATGTCCAAAGTATGGGAAATGAAGAGCTGCCCTTCTTGCATCAGAAAGCACTGTGGCTGCGTCTTTTCCAAGACATACCTGTTCGTTCTTTTGGTCCATAGTGTATTCAGGACTCTTCTCTAACACAACTCAAAGACATCAGTTCTTCTCTCACCTTTATTGATTGGTCAGCTCTCAGGTGCATAGAAGTAATGGAAAAGACCATAGATAGCAGCAGGAACTGACCTCACTGCTCTTCAGGCTTTTAGAGTAGTCGCTGACAGTGGACTTGCCCAAAGCAATAGGTCTCCTTAACTGCTGACACCAAGTGTGTTGACTGTGGATCCAAGTAAGATGAAATCAGTGACAGCTTCAATCCTTTCTCCATCTGTCATGAGGCTGCACTTTAGCCCAGTGGTAAGGACATTTGGTAGTTTTGACAGGGAGATGCAGTTTATATCAAAGGCTGTAGTCTTTGATCTTCTACAAACAAGGTGGTGTCATCTTCATCACACAGATTGTTGATGAATTTTCCTCAGGTCCTGATGCCACATTCTTCTCTAGAGTCCATCTTCACACGTTATTTTCTCAGCCTACAGATTGACTAGCATAGAGAAAGGATACAACTTTCCTGATTTTAAACCATGCAGTGTTCCCTTGCTCTGTCTGAACAACAGCTTCTTGATCGAGGTGTAGGTTTTGTATGAGCCCAGTTAAGTGTTCTGGGATTCCCATTCTTCTCAATGTTAGCCGTAGTTTGTTGTGATCCTTGAGAGTTCTTTTTCCAAGATTGTGAATCCCATGGGAGAAGTGACCCCCCACCCCCGTCTTCTGAGGAGCCCTGAGTGAATGAGAATTGCCACTTGAGGTGCGCCACCAAAGCTCCTAGAACACTTCTGAGTTTATTATATTCACTTACGTACGTCCTGTTGTTATAATCAATCACCGGCTCTCATTGCCGCCAAGTCAGAGCCGTCTCATAGCTGATCCTCGTTTGGGTGATGAGGCTGTAATTCCCCAGAGAGGAGATTTCTCATCTTTCTCAGAAAGTTGCTGGTGGATTTGAACCACCAGAGGCCTCTGGGTTCCCCATAGGCTCTGCCGCCAGAACTCCCAGTTGTTACGATTAATACGTCAGCGGGAGGAAAAAAAGTTGGGGGGATCAAACAAGTGGTGAGATTTCCTGTTAAGATGAAATGTCTCCCTTAGAGCTCTAATATTCTTGCAGGGCATTTCATGTTCCTTTAATTTAACTTAACCCTGTGAATCAAGTTCTTCCCAAAGGGCTAATTAAGGAGGTCTGTTAACTCTTTCAGGATACGGGCCTCTTAGAACTTCAGCAAGGCCATTAGCATTGTTTTGCCTTAGGCTTTATACTTTTTAAAAATCGGCTGTCATTTTCGAAGCAATCCAAAATAGCACACTCAACAGATCCCTGGAGCTCTGGAAATGTTAATGCCTTCTACCAGCAATGACCTTGCCACCGGGAAGTGATTTAGGCACTAGGGAGAAGGGGGCCCACTATCTTTATCACACTGGTTTATACCATCAACTGTAGAAATTGTGTGAGGGAGAATAATCAATAGTGTGTTAAGACCAGTCTCAGAGAATGCCAAGACAGAGTGCTCCCACTTTGCAAAATGCTGAGCCGAAGGAGAACTTTTGAATACAACACAAGAGAAATTAGCTGTGGTGGTAAAACAAAATGAATTGTGTCTCCAGATGGAATTTGTCATGGGGAACAGGTCTTGAGAGAGCTCCGTGGGTATTTCGGCGGAGCCTCACAGTGTGAAGGCTGGGACACGCTTATATCAAACAGGGCAGGAGCAAAGGAGACCAAATAATGGAACAGGAAGGGATGCTTTCTAAACCTGTATGTGCCAAGTGAAAATTAGCTTACGTAAACAGCTCAAAAAAGTTTGCTTAAGAGGGAGCTACACACACACTTCAGTGTGGTGTGTTACAGGCTGGACTGCTCACTGAAAGATCATGGGTTCAAATCCTACCTTGCTACAAAGGGGGGGGGGGAGGGGACAGCCTTCTCCCGGAAAGAGTTATAGCCTCAGAGCCTGGATGGAAGGTAGCTGTGAGTCAGGCCTGACTCTTGAGTGGTGAGCGTACACACATATATGGATACACACGTACATGGACACACACACACATCCATGCAAACTGAACCCTTGGTCCACCCTCTGCCGTCTTCACTGTCTCCTCTGCCCACACGCATTGGTGCATCTCTGGGTCGGTCCAACTCGCTGCGGGCTCTCCTCTTCTGCACTGACGCTCTGCTTTCCCCAGCATGAAGCCTGAAATGTGAGAGGAAGTTTCACCATCCCTGGCTGTCAGGAGCACCAGGCTGCAGTTCTTCCAAAAATAATGATGTTGTCGTGTGTCAGAACTAACTCAGAGCTGACCCTCTAGCTGGTTTCCAGAGGCAGTTGATAATATGAGAGGAGATTGCCCATCTTTCTCCTGCAGAGCAGCTGGTGGATTTGAACCACAAGCCTTTGGGATTGTCTATAAAATGTACACAGCAAAGGAAAAAAGCTCTATATTTCCCTAAATTTGAATCCCCCAGCCACTCCTGGAGAGAAATATGGGCAGTCTCCAAAACCTAACAGAGTCTTTCAGTGTCAGAACTGACTCAAGGGCGGTGAGTGTATAGGACGGGACCCTGTGGCATCGTGGATTATGATTCAGGCAGCTGATCAAAAGGTCACCAGTATGAGTCCACTAAATGCTCCACAGGAGAAAGATGGGCTGTCTCCTCCCATGAAGAAGAGAAACCAGATGGGAGCCTCAGAAACCCAATAGAGTGTTCCTGGGAGTCAGGATAGATAGATAGATAGATAGATAGATAGATAGATAGATAGATAGATAGATAGATAGATAATAATGATGTAATGATGATTATGGATAGATGGATGGATAGATAGATAGATAGACCGTCAAGTGGAACTGACTCATAGCTGACTGTCCCGCAGGTTTTCCAGTATGACACATGACAGGAGATCGCCCGTCTTTCTCTTGTGGGGCATCTGGTGGATTCTAAGTGTTTGTAAGATGATAGTGCAGCTGTTTACATTCGGTCATCAGAGCTCCCTATTATATATCCCTTTATATGCATATATAAAATCAACTCCTGTGTAGAAATGGAAGAAACTTAAACTTTATCAAAGATTCTGGAGATTTAACTCTGTTTCCTGTAATTCTAGTGAAGACACTGTCTCTTGATACATAGAAGGGAGAGTGAAGCTTCTAAAAACAGCACTGTCTGCTTCACCCAGAGTGAAGCCACCCTGGGACAGAACTGGCAGCTGAGTCCCTAAGATCATTATAATAAAGAGTTTGATTTCCCATGGCAGTCCTAATTGTGACATGAACAGCTGTCAGCAAGAAAATTAGAGACGCTGTCATTCTATAGATCCTGTGCACATTTGCGTGTCCTATTTCCACACCAATGCTCGAGAGAGTGTCTACAGAGCATTCTTCCAGGGGAGGCTTGCATTCCACCAAGGGAAGTAGCTGGAAATATTGGGCTTATATGTTTGTTATACATGAACAGCCTTTGCCTTGATAACAATACTCCAGATGGGTGCTGATGGAGAACCAAATTCAAGTACATGAAAGCCCGGGGTACAAAGCTTATTTTGTTCTGAAATCCTCTTCTGAGGGAAATACTGCTGTTGACTGTGACCCATAGTAACTCCAGGGGTGTCAGAGTGGAATTGTGCCTCACAGAGCTTTTAGTGACTGATTTATCAGAAGTAAAAAGCCTCAGTAGTTGTAGTGGCGTAAGCACTGGACTGATAATCAAAAGGTGGAGACTTTAAACCCTCCAGGTCCTCCACGAGAGAAAGCTGAAGTCCTCTGCTCCCATAACTCCTTACAGCTTTGGAAACCCTATGGGCAGTTCTGTTGTGTCTTACATGGTCACCATCAGTCAGAACTGAGTCGTCAGCACTGGACTTTCTAGGTGAACTTGACCCAACAACCTATCAGAGAGCAGTCAAGTGTGTTAAATGTTGGCGCTATACAGGAACTTCAAGGGGATTCTTAGAGCCCCTGTTTGTAGTGTGAATTCTGGTGTCACAGCCTATAATGTATTGCCCTGCTATCTAAAAGGGTGCAAAGCTCCAACAGTTTAAATCCACAGCTGCTCAGAGGAACAAGGATGTGTATTCTGTTCCTGTTGGGACAGTCACTGTGAATCAGAATCTGCAGTGAGTTTGGTTTTAGGTTTGAGATGTTGTTTTGGATTTTACCCCTAGTTTGTTTTGAACCTTCTGGATGTTTTTGTTGTTGTTGTGTGTTGTGTGCCATTGGGGGTTGTGGAGCAGCTGGTGAATTCCTATGTCTTACCTTTGGGTTGGCAGCCCAGTCTCTTCCTCCTTAAGCCACCAGGGCTCCCTTTGTTTTAGGGTAAAATGAAGAGTTGTGACACAAAGTCAGTCCCTCCACATCTCGAAGGCTAATTTGTCCTGTTGTATTAGATTTGTTTGGGCTTAGCTTATTCTTCAAGATAAGCACATCTGAGGGACTTGAGGGGGAGGGATTGCATAACAATGAGTTTTTCTTTCTTTTCAAGGAGAAGAGGGAGTTGGGGAGGAGAGGGTGGACAGGGAGAAAAGTGCAACAATGAATGCCTGGAAACGCTAAGTCTCTGTAAACTTTCATTTAAATTAATTTAAAAAAAGGAGAGGAAAAAAAACAACCCCCAGTCAGGCCAAATTTAAAAAAAAAAAAGTGAAGAGATGAAAAGCTTAATAACAAAAAGGGGCTTTTCATTGATTGTTTCATTGATTTAATTAAATAGAGGATGAAACTATGAACTTTGATAAATATCAATAGTTATAGAAAGGCTTCAGGCCTTTTGTTCATAGGGTCGTTATGATTCATGCTTGATGGCAATAAACAACAACAACGAGTTTCATGAGAAAGAGAGAAGCCACAGTGCAGCGAGCAGGTCACAGCTCAGTGTGAGGAGGAAACTCACTCGTCCTATGCTTCTTGCAGGTCTTTCAGGGGTGCGGCCAGCCCAAGCCTGCTCCTGCCCTCAGGTCTGCCCGCTCTGCACCCGAGAACTTCAACACGCGCTTCAGGCCCTACAACCCCGAGGAGAGACCAACGACGGCCGCAGGCACGAGCTTGGACCGGCTGGTGAGTCCCCACGGGATGGAGAAGCCTGGACAAGCTGATTGTCCCTGGTATCTCCTTCTCAGCGTCTGCCATCTGCTTGTAATTAGAATTGTCTCAAAGTAGCAGGACCTTTCTTGCAGGCTATCAAGTGGATTTTTTTTTTTTTAATAAACCATAAACTATTAATCCACACTGCTAATGGCCAGAATTCAACTGATGTTTCTTCTGAAATATTGCTTGGAAAATTAAATAACTGTTACCAGTTTTCACAGAGACACTAGCATACTTCCTATTTTTCTGTTTGCTTTTATCTATATTTCCTTTAAATGGTTTTTTATTCTGTTGTGATACAGTGAAACTTTTTTTTTACAACTCCCTCTTATGTATAAACTTTTAATTTGAAACTCCCTACAAGGAGACCCCAAGTGAATGATGCTACCTTTCTCTCTTTTTCATATATGTCTTTAAAAAGTTTCAGTCTTTAAAAAGTTTCAGTCTTTAGATATAATCACTCTTTCAAAAATGTGTTTTGGGCTAAAAAGGAACTATCAATAAGGTAATTTATTCCTAGGCTACCACCATAAATAAACACATTTTAATGTGTTTTAAAAATCAAATTTTACTGTAAAAAAATTAAAAGCTTATCATGACAAAGAACTATTGCCTGGTTTGCTGTTCTCGTATCTTCTGTGGATAGTGCAACGAACAGCTTATAAACCTGTGCTGATTAGTGCTGCTAACACTGCTTTGCCAATTATCTTTATGTAAAATTAACAGATGACAGCCTTGAGGTCAGGAAGCACCTGAACCAGATCTGATTGGGTCATATAAACTCACATCTGATTATGAATACACTTTTATTGGACACTGTTAGAAATGACTTTATCATGTTAGCTAATTCCCTTCTGGAACTCATAAATTCAATTGTTTGGGTGTGGTCTCAAATTAAGCACACCTCCACTTTTCCTCAACTGTAAAAGATGAAATTTCTTTTGCAACATGAACACCTCTCCCTGAAATGTAAAAATGGACATATAAACCCAGGAGTTAATTGTTAACCTGTGTGTGTACTTGAATCAGGTTTTAAAATGTCAGAGTGCAGTTTCTGCAAATCATACTCTTTCTTGGTGCTTTGAGCTCTAGAGAAGAGGCCAGCTCAGGAGTTAACCACTGAGTTATCTAATACACAGATTTAATACTGATTATGAGCAAATAAAGAACCCTTTTATTTAGAGTAGTTTTTAGAAACAGAATTAATAATTTAACTACTCAAAGGCTTCAGCCTTCACATTGGTTATTTCTACCCTGCATTTCATTGTTTCAACAGAAAGCTTAAAATCCCATCCCATTTTATTTTCCAAACAGCCAATTATTTTGTCAAACAAGTAGTTGTTAACCATTTGTTTGAAGTACAATGATGGTTTGATTAGATTCCATTGATTGGGTTTTTACTTTAAAAGCTAATGTGTGTGTCAAGGATCTTCTTACAAGAATAAATGGTAAGTGTGTATCTTTTTCTAGACCCATTTCCGTTGACTCATACAATTCAGGTTTTCAAAAGGTTCATCCACTTTCATTAAAATACTGGGGTACATTATTCTGTCTCTTAAAATTGTCCTGAATTTAAGCAACATAATGATACCTATGACAACTAAGTAATTTTTCCCCTTTGAAACGGGGAAAGAGAATAAATTCTCTGAAGAGAATAAATAAATAGACACTCAAAAAGGAGAAATGGAGCAAGAAAAATCTTTTCCTCAAGACAACAATACTTAGTTTAGCACAAACCTAAATGAAGCATAATCAACCTTTTGAGATTTTCACATAAGGATTAAAATCTGATACGAATGAAAATTGAAGTTTGAACTTTCTCTTTAATAGGAACTTCTCCAGCAATCTTCATAATGCTCCCCACAAAAAAAAGTTGCTGTTGCAAAATAACAAACTCAATTTGGATCTTTGCTCTATGCATCAATAAAAATATGCTTTGATCATTTTTTTAAATGACAATGCATCGTAATTAAGCCAGTGATCATGGGTAAAATGAAGAAGCAGACTTTCTATGTGTGGGATCCAAATAAGAAGCTGATATGATTCAAACATACCCTCTGCCATCACACAGCAGTCACTTTCTCCCAGGAGTGACCTGAGGGTCTGTGTACGTGAGCGTCGAGGCTCTTGTCATTACATTATTGAATTAAATGATGATTCCTTCCCAGATTGAGCAATTCGTAATTCACAGCCAGTCTCAAACCCACCAAGAGCTACTTCCCTCAGCTTCCAAGAACAAGGAGGTTTTTCCATATCAAAAGGAACTGTACCAAGGCTGTTCTTTAAAACACAAGCTAGGCCCAAAGCTAATATCAGAGTCTCTACTCCAGCCTATGGGGGTCCCTCAAGGCTTTCCTCCCTCTGAGCGCTGGTACAGTTCTGAGCAGTGAAAGGGTGACACAGTTAGCCTTGACCTCTCCCTGCAGTGCCAATGCCAGACACAATCAGCTTCAGGATGGCTGTGAACGGTCCTGGGGTTCTGCCATACATCACCACCTATTTACCTGTTTATAAACGAGGTTCATGTTACCCTCTCCAGTTGTAATTTTCCCCTGCAAAGATGTTTCCCGAGTATGTATAAGAAGCATGTGTCCCCCACCAGGAGCCTAATTGGAAACTCTTTCTCCTGAATGTCTAAGTCTTTTAGCAGAGAAAATGCTTCAAAAGAAGGTCTCAAAAAGAATGATCCAGGCACCCCAAACCCCTTGCCAAAAATCAAAACAATTCATTTACAATGTTCTCAGAAAGCTGCTGTCCAATACAGTTTAATTTAAAATTGTATCTGTGCTATTAACTTGGAGGACTGCAGGTAAATATTTTCACATTAGTTGTATTCTTTATGTAACCTGGTAATTGTGGGGTTTGTTTTAAAAATAAAACTTCTAACCTCAAACTAGGTAAACAGTTCCTAAAATATGTATCTTAGAGATTTGAATAGGGAGGAGGGAAGGCCAACAAATCAATCAAACCAAAAACTGTCTCTCTTAAAAATATAACAATTAACTTCTCATGTTTATAAAAACATTTAAATTCTTTACCATCTAGAAAGCATTCACATTTGTTTCCTTAAAGATCTCTGGTGTAAAAATGCAGCTGACACAATCAGAAGCTTTAAGTCGTTTTCCCCTCAAGTTATTTTTGTCACCCACTGGTTAGTTAATATATTTATATAAATTCAGCTGCGGGTAGAAAGTCAACTGGCTAGAGAATGCCACAGTCCTTTATGCCAGCCATCAGGACTGCTGGAATTAGCCAGCAGCTGATTTAACAAAGTGGTCTTCTGACCCCGTGACTCTCTCCTGTTAACCACAGAAGTATAGCAGCCCTTTGACTGAGCTGGCTGTCAGCGATTTTCATTTCAGGAGGCCACGAGTGACTGTGGACATCCAGAAAGAGAAGGGTTCTAATTTTTACCCCATAAATTGTCTTCAACAGTTCAGAGTCAAGCTATTAGTTGTTTGATTTTAAAAAAAAAAATTCCAATTTGCACAAAGTGTGGACTTTGAAAATGAGCCAAAACAAAACTAGCTCACCTTTTTTTAACGATCTGAGCATCCAAAAGTATTTCAAATTATCCCCTATAAAAGACAATTAATTATTCAGTTCATATAATTAGAGCCCACCCTACAAATGGGCTCCTGAACTCATCTGAGCAGGGAGTGAATCTCTGTTCTTTTCCTCCAACGGGGTTCCTTAGGGCAAAAGCTTACTTGAAATCGTGCATCTTATAGGAATGTGTTTTATGAAAAGGTTCTTTTTTGAAAGCCAGCCTTGGAAGTTAATTCATCAAGTTAATGAATCTCCTGTAAGTATTCAACATTGTGCTGTGCATGTAGATTTCTTTCTGGTCATTGAGGGGGGAATTTGGGGCAAAGGTGGGTGGAGCCTAAGAAGCTGAACGTTATGCCTGTTCTGTACTTTTACGTAGAGAATAATCTCTTTTTCTTTTCTCCTTTAAATTTGTTTTTCCTCTTGCTTCCCAGAGGACTGTGTGGAAGACAATGCAGCATAGTGTAAGCTTCGGTCTTCTTCCTCTTCCTCACCTCCCATCTGTCTCTGTGCAGTCGTGTCGGAGTTTCTGAGAAATCACATTTCCACTTTCCCTTCCAAACTGTCTGGGGAACGAATCCAGCATTGCACATGGCCAACTCACTCTGTGATTTCCTCTCTGCTTGGTGTTTATGGTTAACAACCATTTTGGTATTCTTTCCCAATGCAAGACTTTCAATTTAATCTTTGTGTACGACTATCTCATTTGGTGGTTGATTTAAATTCTATCCCAATGTTCAGACTATGTGTAGTCTGCCTAGAAGGAAAAAAAAAAGAAAGAAAGCGAGCTCTTCTCTGATTGAATATATTGCCTGTTTTCTTCTCATGCTGGGGGAATAATTACCTCACTAATAATAACAGCAAACCGACATCAGCTCTCATGTGTAAGGAGCTCATTTTTCCGTTGCTGGGGCATAGAGAACAGGGCTGGGGTGGTAAGGAGCGCTTTCTGCTGGATGTTGTTTATTCTTCGGCCCTCTCCTTCCCTCCTATTTTAATTTACTGATTTCTTTTAGAGCATCCAGGGAAGGAATATTGATTTTTTTTTTTTTTTCAAATCCAAGGTGATTTGTTCTGGGGCTGAGAAAAGCACCTAGGATATCTAGGTTGACTTTTTATCTTACTCAAATAATTGTTGAATGTCATTTACATAATACTGTTTCCTGCTGGTGATATTGTTTGTTAAAGATTTGATGTTGTTGTTGTTGATTGCCTTCGAGTCGAGCACGACTCGTAGTGATCCTATGAGCAAAAGGCCAGAAGCACCTCTACAACTATCGACATACATAATATCATGGGCTCAGAAGGAGAGAGTAACCCTCCTTTGAGGCCCAGCCTCATCGCTGTCCAGTTGGAATCAACTATTCACGGACTGTGCATTGGGTCTCCGAGGCTGTAAATATCACAGGAGGAGACTGCCC